CAGGTTCCACCATCATGAAACCAGAAAATGTAAAACAGAACACATATTTTAGGACCTGACACAAAACATGTGATTTACAGAGCAGCTAAGAATGCTATAACGGAGAGAAATGAAATTTATTTTCAGCTGGATTTTAAATTATACAAAACAAGAGGGGGGAAAGGAAAAGCAGAAGCATGAGCGTGATAGTAACTCCTTTCTCTTGCCCACACTTCATACCACGACTCAGGCCTGCTGTGCTGTGGCCGACACCCCAATATGAACCAGATCCTTGAAATCACGATACTGTATTATTCTGGCCATCCTGCAAATCTATAACATCCCTTCACTTCAAAAGCGGAACGTGCGTTTTGCATGTTCTGTATATATATTTTTCTTGCCGCGGGCTGAGACATTGGGGTGGAGAGGGGAGAAAAAAAAAAGTTAAGAGTATGATGAATGTGTTCTGGCCACAGGAGTGTGGGTGGTCTGTATCTGTCAGCGCTGCTATTACAGCAGACAGCAAAGTTACAGGCCAATAAGCTGCACTATCATCACCGTCATCAGCAGCAGATCTCCTTACAACAGCTCTCAGCTGTCCACATCACAACCTAGCACAAACATGTACTTACCCACAGAGCTCTGCTCTCCAGTGTCTCGCATTAAAAACATTTGGCTGTGTCACTGTATGTTCTTAAAGGAACAGTTCACCCAAGTGACAATTTTCACTTCCATCTGGTGGTAATCAGACATTATTGTCCTCTTCGTTCTTTGGCAAAGCTTTAAGATATGTGTGTCTGATATTTTTGCTTGCCAAAACAGCAAAGTGATGACATTTTTGAGAAATTACAGCTAAAATTGTATTTTCCCCCCCAAAAAAACATTTCCAGACTTTTGAAAACTGTTCTTGCTTGTGGCCCAATGTTCTTAGCAGTGTTGGTTATCAACAGACCTTCTAGAGGAGCAACAACTAAAACTTCTGTAGGAATTGCTGAATAATATTGTCCCTATGAAAACGAGAGCTTGAACAATACTAAGCTAAAATGTTATCTGGAAATAAAACGGAGAACTATATGTACTGTAATCTGGCCCAGATATCAGCTGTCTACAATGGTAGCCTATGGGCTCTGAGATTTTTCTGCTCATCGAATAATCTTATATGAACAGTTTTGTTCGGCTGTTTTAAAATGTGACCTCTGGACATTAGCTCAGGGGGTTTTGTTCAAAATCTGAAAATGCTTGAAACTGCAGAGACAAGCTTCCTATTTATCTCACAATCATGTGACTGTAACTGACATGTGAGTTGCAGATATTGTTTTTATGAGCAGTGTGTCATCGAGGCAGAAAGAGTATGACGCAATGCTGTATGTCAACAACTCATTAACTATTTTCCACAGCGAAGGTATGGCATTAGTTAGCTTTGTGGCTTTCTAATATAGCAACAGATTAACTTTAAAGCTGCTGTTCATGCTACACTGACATTGAAGTAGACGACTGGGAGATGTTTTGTTTATTCACTAGAATTGTTTTTTACAAATAAAACCAGGTCAGGTTTACACAAAGGTTTATTTAAGTTATAAAAAAGATGTGGAACTATGAAGACACAACCTCACAGGGATTGGTGTGTTGCCAACAGTTCTCCAGCTCTCCATTACTTTCTTGTTTTGGTGACTTATCGAGCATAGTAAACGCCAATAGCGATTTATCTGCAGTCAGCTTGATTCGATGAGAACAGAATACCTTTAAAGCCAGGCTCACAAAACCACAACAATCTGCATAAGTACGAGGCCACGTTTGTTTTTATGGAGAAAAAAAATCCACTGCACAGAAAGTACTGGCTGGAAAATTCAAAACAAGAGAAACAGAGGTGATAATCCTCATGTTCTCTCACAGCATCTTCCCCCTGTGTATCTTCTTGTTTACCTCTGTTTTCCTGGAGCTGTGACGCTCGTTCGCTGGAATTTTTATAAGAGATTTACTGGAGCAATACGAGCTCGAGCATTATAATTACTGAGCTAAACAGGAGAGGGCCTCTATTAAAACAGTGTGACGTTGGTCGGTAGCTCTGATTCATGGCTGCAAAAACAGGAGACACACACATACAAACACAGACACACACACTTATAGAGGGCAAACGCAGGCAACATTTTGTTATCTGTGAGATTGGGCAGGAGAATAATGAGGTCACCTGTGAGCCAACTCCACTGTATTCCATTAATGAGGTTGCTGTCTGCCACTGTGGCCAGCTACAAGGACACACAAGCAGTAGATCACCTCACATTATCTGTCCTCTGTCACTTGGCCTGGCAAACATACAGAGCCAAAGAGAGCGTGCAGCAGAGCAGCACTCCTGGACTGTACCACGGCTTTATTTCTCGCCGCGGCTCATGTTAAACCCTCTGACGACGCAGCGTTGATTTATGACTCCTGCAGACTGACACAGCCAGCAGACAACCCTTGTGGTGTGTGTGTGCGTGTTTTGAGCTCACGTGATTGATTATCCCGTGTCTGTGGCATTTTTGAAATGTAATCTCTCTGAACAGCATGAAAGGTGTGAGACCCCAGAGAAAACAACCCTCCCACCCGCCTGCCACCCCCGCATGTATCCTTGCCTGTATTGTATTAGCATACCTTTGCTCAAGCTCGCTAGGAAATTGAATTCCCTCTCTTCCTGTAAAACTCTCCGCGGGATTAAACCGTCACCGTGTGATTTACTGTAACCTTGCTATAAACAGCAGCATCCCTCCGCGCTGCGCTGATTGATGTGCCAGCAACTGTTTTGTGTTGCTACATTGTCACGCTATCACGCAGTACGTTTCATTTTGCTTACACCACTGTGAAAACAGCACTGGATGCAATGGAGGGTGTTTGGCTGAAGAGCAGAGAGAGTATAATTTAAGTTTTTACGATTGAAGTGAGTGGAATGATCTCCGGATTCAATTCAGTATTGATTTATTTCAAATTATAGGGTTTGATTTTTGATGGTTCAGTTACATCAGATGTATTCCATTGCTTTGAACACTTCTCAGAATTAAAAGTTCAAACTTCAAGTTCATCTACATTCCAAAAATGAGCAACACTAGGGGTTCCAAGTAAACATTTATAGACAAAATTGCAGATACATTTTATGTGACCCGTAGGATAATATAGTGTATTGTCACACAGTATACCATAGTGTGGAATGGAAAATACTTAAAACTGAAATGTTCTAATATCGTGATGATGATATAGTTGGTATGGTATATAGAGTATAGCAAACAAAACAATATATACTAGAGTATGAAATAGTATAAAGGCCTACTGTCTCTTTTAAAGGACACCAATTGTTTGCTTAACCCCTCCCCTGGACGATGATTGTCCACTCAGAGCATAAAGATGGAGGACGTGTCTCTTCATTGCAGTTTACATAAATGAAGCCAAAACATTCTGGATATGAGTGCCACCATCTTGCTCTTGTAACATCATTTTGAGCCAGAGTCTGTGCAGTGGTGATCAGGGGTAGAGCTGCGGTATCAAGGTTTAGCAGATACATGCATTGACCAATCACAAGATGTTTAAGTCCATTTTTATAGCATCCGATCACTAAAACCAAACTGTAAAAATGAACATTTGAACAAATATCTAAAATGACAGAAAACCTCTTTGAAAAAAAAATTTGACATGTACTTTGACACTTTAGTTTGGTCCACATGCAATCCACTAACATGGAGGAAACAGGAGCACTTTAATAGAAACACCTGTATGCTTGTTAATTCAATTATCAAATTAGCCAACCATGTGTTAGCAGTGCAATGTATAAAATCATATAACTACAGGTCAGGAGCTTCAGTTCATCTTCACATCATAAATCAGGGATGGGGAGATCTGATGTCATCTCAGTGATTGACAGTCAATTGATTGTTGGGACTTGCCGATCTGGTTTGAGCATTTCAGAAACTGATTATTCTGGAATTTCCATGCACAACAGTGCCCAAAGTTTACTCTGAATGATGAGGAAAAATAAATCTATTAAATGAGCAGCATTTCTGCAGACACCTTATTGATGAGAGAGGTTAGGGGAGAACAAGGTCAGACTGGTTGGAGCTGACATAAAAAAGGCTGTGGTGACTTCAGATAACCAATCTAATCTCAGGATGGACAACATGTCAAGGACACATCAGGTTCCACTGCTGTCAGTCAAGAACAGAAACCTGAGGCTGCAGTGGACACAGAGTCACCAACACTGGACAGCTGAAGACTGAGCAACATAGCCTGGTTTGATGAATCTGGATTTCTGCTAAAGCTGCAGATGTTAGAGTCAGAATTTGACGTCAACAGGAGAAATCCATGGAGCCAACCTGCCTGGTGCAAACAGTCCAGACTCCTTTAATTTAATCTCTACTCAACCAGGGAGGCTCATTGAGACTTTTGATGTCTTTTTCAAGAGAGACTTGAGAACAGGAGACGATCACAATCAGCAAATAAATACAACACAACAAAGCAACACCACAAAAACTTAATTAGAACAATTACACGAATCATGAAAAACTACAGATAACAAAGATTTAAAATCCTCTTGAGAGTTTTCTTCGCATATCATGGGCCTGAGTACTTTTACTGACCATGTTTCCTTCACCTTGTGGAATCAATGACACAAAGCATTAAGGTTCTTTAGATTGTTGTACCTATTGTACTTGTTTTGGTTGTGTGTATAGTTTACCAGCATTTCAGGTACAATACCTGTTGTAGCCAATATTGACATGTGCTTATGTTATATTGATGTTGGTGGTAAGTGCTGCTGAGGGTGGTATTCACTATTGAAACACACATGCTGTGAGAGTCACAGATGAACAGCTGCAGGGAATCTCAATCAAAGTTTTTCAACATGTGAGAGTTTCTCTGTTTTGCTCATTTATTCTTATATTTATAAGCTCATTTAAAAATGATTCTTGCAGTTCATCATGTTTTTGTCTAATTAAAAAACTGAAATGTTTTGTTTAATAGCTGCTTTGTTGTGGCTTCTTTCTCGTCTTGTGTTTCAGGCGCCATCAAACCGCTGTAGCAAAGTCCCCGTGTTTCCAGATCTCTGTTTGGTGAGTACAGGGTTATCATTACCTAGCTACCAAAACAAGACTAACATCATAATAAATTAAAATGACCCTTTAAAGCTTCCGCGCTGACGCAATCCGCACAGCGACAACTCTGGCACCGCGCCTCGTTTTTCTTCTTGCATTTATGTGTGTGTCTGCCTCTGTGTAGCTGATGATAAATGAGCGCAGCAGCTCCTGAGAGAGCTCACAGAGGAAAGAATAATGGGTATTTAAGCACACTTGTAAATTACCAACACATTTGTCTTAGGCTGTCCCCTCAGGGAAGTATGACAGCGCAGCACACAAAGTATATAGAGCTCGCATACATCTGTTCCACATAGTCTTATTGGATCTGCTGACATCACTTAAATGCAAACTGTCACGCCATGTGCCATAATTCATATTTTGACAAAGCGCATAAAGCAGTCGTTGCTGTCTTTGCACCTGCATGTGTGTATGATAGAGCCTGTCTCGGCAGGTGTGTGCCGGGTCATGCAGAGTGCACGGGCGATGTTTATCTCTAAGTACCGCAGAAAGGCATGCTGGACCGCCTGCTGGGAAAATGGGATTACAGCTATCTGTTCCTCTGCGGCATGCTGGGTACCGAGCCTGTGATATTGCAGTTACATGCTTCCATCAGCGGCACACATGCTGTCTGCCACTTTGTTATGCAAAATTGTTTGACCCAGCAAAAGAGTTGCAAAGAAGAAATGATGATTGCTCTCATTTCATTTTTTAAATTTATTTATTGAGAGGGAGATTTATGATTATTAAACACAGATTGAAATATAATACAGAAAAGAACGGCTTAGTTCTGCACTTGATGACTTTGCTTTGACTTTTCATCAGACTGTATAGTGCAGCAAATGTTTTTGACTTTCCAGGAGGTGGTAGAGACCAAAAACAGATTTAGATGTGAAAAAAGGCAACTTATAAGTCCGACATGTCAACCTAAAATGTGATGATATGTCAGTGTTGTGTTCACAGCTGCCCCCATGTGTAAATATTCAGTTTCATGAAGCAATTTTTGGGCCTAATTTTTGTTAATTTTTCATGAATAGGGCTTGATTTTGCCAAAAAGTTAGACCAAGATTTGTCAATATTGATAATTATCACAATAAATGTCACTTTATTTTTAGTTAAGACTGATTAATGCTTGAGAGTGAAGGTTGTGGTTTCATACACATGATGACGAAATGTCTGGCGTTCTCATTTAGTTTTTTAAAATATTGAGCGAGAGTGAGATTTGCTATTATTAAGAACAGATTGAAATATAAAACAGAAAACATTTCTCGGTTCTGCACTGGATGACTTTGCTTTGACTTTTCGTCGGACTGCATCCTGCAGCAAAAGCGCAGAGTTGTTTTGAGTTTCCTGCCAAAGTCGGGATCATAACACAGCTTTGTGTTCCTCCAGCCGCTTCCAGCAAACAGCCAGAGAGCTCCGATTCATCATCCTCATTCATAAACAGTCATTAATGTTTATGACAGGTGTCGTGACATGTTTATGACAGCATTATGTCTGCTTTACGAGACCACTGTCAAGTCAGGTTTTACGACCGTGGCACTTGGAGGCAGCAAGGGGACTGCTGGCGGCGCGCCCAAGAGGTTCTGGGATGTTTAATCAGTTACTTGAACACATTCACAAATAAAAAGAGAGAACAGCGTTTGGCAGGGAAGTCGGTCTGTTTGACAGGGGTAGCCATCAAACCTTCTCATTAAACTCTCTGGATCCAGGCTCCCCCTGTTCTTCAGGGCTTTTATTGGAAAATCACTATTCTCAATTTGCTAGTTGTTGTAAAAGTTGTGTTCCAGGTAGTGGTTGTGAGTTCGGGGGGTTAAGCAACGCCGCAAAATCCTCCACCCTCGAGCTTTATGGCACGCTGTAAAGCTGTTGGCAGGCTGACAGTGGCAGTATCTTTTTATCCGGCTGCTAATTTAAGGAAGGAGATTAAGGTTGTGAATTACATTTATCGCACTGTTGTGTGTGTGTGTGTGTGTGTGTGTGTGTGTGTGTTTGCTGATAGTGAGGTGCACCCTTTCTGTATATTATCAGTTTTTGTTTTACCCTTTGCTGCTCCTTTCGAATGACACTTCATCTGAGGTTAAATAGCCATACATAATCGACTGTGTTTAAATGTATTTTTGTATATATTTAAAATGTTGTAACATTGTGTAAATGGTCTATATTTATATAGAGCTTTTCTCTTCGTATTGACCACAACAAGTTACATTCACACATAAATTCATACATTGATACAATGTGCTGTGGTTTTCTTTCACACAGTCACATTCAGTCACATACTCTGATGGAAAAGCCGTGCATGTGTCGCCCAAGGACACTTAAGTGTGCGGACTATAGGAACATGGGATTAAACCACCGACCTTCAGGTTACCTCCTGACCCTCAGGGCCAGAATTCATCAGTACCATTCTCAAGTAAGACCCTGCTTGCCCTTGTGTTTTTTTTCATAGCTCATAGTTAATAAATCATATACAAACTAATACTAGTCAGTAAGTCATAAATATAAAGACTTTTTTCCATCAAATTATGGAAAAAAACAACCTTGTACCATCGATTACCAACATCTATAACAGCTTTACTACTAAAGGGAAAGAATAAACTCCAGCAAATGTTTTATTCATTGCTTTCAATTGATCTATTAACTATTAGAATGAATTATGTCTTATTAACTCTTCAGGCAGAGGCTTTTTGTGTGATGGTTGTTCTATATGACAGAATGTGGGACAAAACTAGCAAGAGGAAAAGTTTTCTATGGGCTAAAAACCATCCATTCTGTTTTCCAGCCTAAAAATCCACACAGACAAACTGAACCCGACAGGCACTGCTGAATTTAGGCCATGAACCATATCCAAAGCCTGACGCTATATTTGAGTTATTTCATCTTCAAATGCAAAGTAGTATGGCTGCTTTGGAAACATTGTCTCACCCATAAAAAAATAACAACAGCAATAGGCCAACACAGGATGTGACCTCACAACCCTACAGCACCAAACATAAAGTTCTACAGGTTTAGTTAGAGCTTTATTGTTAGCTTTAGCTCACTGTTCCTCTGTCTGACCTCAACTTTAGATTTATTTGTGACTCCTCTCTGCTGTCATTCACTACCTTCTCAGCACCAAACAACAAGACAAGACACAGAAGCAACAAAAAGGCAGATATTTCTCTTGGGAGGTGGTGCAGACCAAAAATGAGCTGGGTGTATAAATAGGCAACTTGAAATGTGATGTCAGTGTTGTGTTAAACAGCTGCTCACATGTGTCCAAAGAGTTTCATGGAGGATTTTTTGGGCCTAACCTAAAGTCAGCTGATCATTTTCAAGAATAATCGATTCATCCTATGCACAATAAAATGTTATAAACTAAAAAACATTGTTTACGAAGACCTACAGTATGCTATGAATAATCCTGACACAGCAATGTAGCACTCCATTCAACTGAATCATACTGTAGTCGTGTTGTTTACCACTCTTATGGCAGAAAGATTAATCGGTAGACTGACTCACCTCTTTAGTTTCACAGCAGAGCTCTCTGTTGCCACTATAAACAGTCAGAGAATATGGTAAAGAATGTCCCTCTTTAAATAGCGAATCTTTGAGTTGAAATAATAGCTGTTTGTCGCTGAAGCTTGGACACTCACCGCCCTCCGCTGCGCCCCGGCAAGCACTTTACAAACAAACGTAAGCACTTTTATTGATAGGGTAATCCTAGACTGATTAATGACCCAATAATCAGCCGTAACCTGCAATAAATCAACCTCTGATCAATACAGCCTGTGCTCTGCAGCCGTGGCCAGATCATTACCATGTCACTGTATATCCACCATTAGCAAGGGAAGGCAGAGCGCTAAAGGGAGGGAGAGAAGAAAAAGTGTTTCCTTTCTAATGTGTCGGAGATGGGATTGATAGAGAGGTCATTTTTTAATTTCATTTGTCTGCCCACCCGCCTTCCTCCCTCCCTCTTCTCTCAGTCTGATTAATGACCGAACAGCACAGGCAGTGATAAAGATGGAGAGGGGTGAGCAGGATGTTAAATTATGATAATGACAGTGCAATTAATGACATTGGGAGACATTATTCTTCAGCCTTTTGGCATATCACAGCTGCTAGTGGTTGAATCGATGTACAGTCTGTGCTGATGCAGTTAAAGGTGCTCTCTTATAGTTGTTGTAGAAACCTACCTCAGGTATTCTGTGTGAATATCTATGATTTAAAAATAAGATTTTTTGAGAGTGCCTGCCGTCGTGTCAGAACTGTCCTCCGAAGAAACACGACAGCATCAGATGTTTCAACAAACGCCAAAAAACACCATCTGTTTACCTTGAAGTGAGAAACAACTCTTGCATTGCCATTGGAATCATCTAGACCTCTCCACCACTACCACACTTCATTCTGTTGTAGAATTAATTTTAAATGGGTACAATTTACATTTTTCCATTAATCTTCACTCTGAACACGTCCACGGTTCAGCTCTTGGTAGAAGCCCCTTTGGCAGCAGTTGTAGTCGAGAGTTTGCTCAGGAAATTTTTCTCAAACCTTGTCTGATTGGTTTGGATGCATCTATGATTTGCAATCTTCAGATCCCTCCTCAGATGATCTATAGGGTTTGAAGTCTGGGCTTTGGCTGGGCCAATCCAACATTGTCTTGGCCGAATGCGTTGGGTCAGTGTCGTGCTGAAAGGAGGAAATTGCTCCAGTCTCAGGTTGCATTCATTCTTGAGCAAGTTTTTTCAAGAACCTCTCAATATTTGTCGACATCTTCATACGTTCCCCTGAATCTACCATTTTTATCATTTGAAGAACCCCCATAGCATAATTCTTCCACCGTCGTGCTTTATAGTAGGGATGGTATTAGACATGTGCTGAATATTATTTATTTTAACTTTCTGCTCAGTTTAGTTTTTCTAACTCACTGGAGAATCTTTTTCTTCATGCTCTCAGAGTCCTTTAAACGCTATTTGGCAAATTCCAAGTGGGCTGTCGCA